CCCTGGGGCCACCTAAAGCCCTCCCTCCCTGCCGCTGGTGTCAAGATGCTGGAGCCAGGCCACTGTTACTTGAAAAGTTTATTTTGCCTTTGTATGGAGAAATATTATTTGTTGTAAACTCTTCTGTAATGAATCTGGAATTCTTGTAATTATTAAAGACTTGAACCGCGACGTCGCCAGCCACGGCCCATCCCGGGGGGTGATGGGGAGGGGGCTGTGGGGGCTCTGGGTGCTCCAGTTCATCCGAGCAGCGTTTGGGAAGATGATGCTCGGGGAGTAGCCGTGATGGCAGCTGGTTCTGTGGGAATTCTGTTTTCCACAATTCCTGCACTCCCCACAATAATATTTGATCACCCTGCACCCCACAGGGCGTGGGCAGTGGTGCGGGAGGTGGCTGACTGTGCATGGAGGGCTGAGAGGGGCTGCTGGCCCTTCCAGAGCCCGTGAATGGTTAAGCTGAGGTGGCTGAAGCAGCTGCAGCATCCCCGGCCTCCCCGGCCTTTTTAAACGCATCTGCTTGTTGCTATTTCCCGGTGTAAATTAAATCGATCGGCTGCACTCTGCCCACCCCCCGCCCCCTTTAAATTAAGTAGAGCTTTTAATCAAGTGATTTATGTTGAATTTGTGGCTCTGGATTAAACTTGCAGCCCGGGGGGGGGGAGCAGGGCTGGGAGGCTCCATAAATCACTGCTCTCTCTGGGCCCAGCTTGGCGAGGCACAGGGAGAGCTGGAGCTCGTGTTTACATCATCCCAAAGTGCAGCTCTCACCATCTCCTGCTCATTTCCTGGGGTTACCAGCAGGGCAATTAAATATGATAATAAGCAGAGCAGCTGCAGCAGAGCTGCTGGTGCTTATGGCTGGGCTGGGGAAGGGGCACGTGCAGCTGGGTGCCCACTGCGTTCCGTGGGACACGGAGGGCGTGCAGGGTCCCTGGGGTGCTGCCCTGGCTACAGCTCAGCAGAAACCACGGGGGTGATGGCACAGGGCTGCCTGAGTGCTGGAATATTCAGCTCCTCTCTGCTCTTCCTGGTGAGCCATCCTCTCCATGTGGGCAGTCTGGAGAGGGCCATACCCCAAACCTGATCTCAGCCCCCCACAGACCCCACCTAGCGCTTTGGGGACCCCCAGGACCAGAGCACCCCCCAGCTGGGACCCTGTCAGGGGGTGCCTGCCGCCCCTCCAGCACTGCCCAGCACCGAGATCTCTGCTTAGCAGGGAGATGGGACAGGGTCCCGTGGGAAATGGCTCCAGAACACAGCAGATCTGAAGGTGCTGCCCCCAGGAGCCCCTGAGCGGGTGGGGTGTGTTGGGCATCAGTGGCTGCCTAGTGCTTGGCCTACAGCACGTTTGGCTCTCACAGCATCCTTTGTCTTCTCCACTCCTTGGGTTCCTCGTTCTCTCCTTTTAAAGCCCTGGGACTGCGCAGGGCCGGGACAATCTCCTGGCCCCAGCCCAGGACGTGGCTGCTCTGCCAGCGCTGAGCTGGGCTCTGCCCCTGCTCCCGTGCTGTTCCACCTTGGTGCAGGATGCCACGGTCCGGAGCACGGCTCAGCAGCAGTGTGGGGAGCAATCCCCCCCAGCCTGGGGGCCATGGCTGCCCCCAGCCCCCTCTGTGCCCCGAGTCCCCCCAGCTGTGGGGTCAGCAGGACCCCGGGCTCCAGCCCCGTGCAGCTGAGCAGAGCCAGAGCCAGATGTGTGCAGCTGCAGCTGGGGCACGAGGCTCCCCAAACCCTGGCTGTCCTGGGCCCTGCCCCACACCACGAGGAGGAGCAGGATGGACAGCATGACGGGCAGTGGGATGGGGACACCTTGGGGACGTTGCCACCTGCACCCATCCCGCTCCATGCGAGGTTTGACAAAGGAGCCCTTGTCCCACATGGCTTCGGCTGGGATAAAGCTCCATCTCCTTTGTTACACGTTTATAGCAGAGGCAGAAGGGCTGCAGGAATGTGGCGCTGGGATCCGGGAGCTGTAAATCCCAGCCTTTGTTGTGCTTGGGCCGCACTAAATCACCGCTTTTCCCTCTGAATACCGATCTCCTCCAAAAGTGCTGAGCGGGGCATCTTTCCCCAGCAGCTTTCTGGGGAAGAGGCTGACGCAGGGCCAGGGCTGGCGCTGGCACAGGAGCAGCATCCAGCAGAAATCCCCAACTCCCGGGCAAGGCCCGACACCCGGCTCCAGGCTGGAGCAGCGAGAGGATGCCCTGGGGAAGGATAAACAGCAGAGGAGCCGCTTCTCCCGGCTGAGGGGAGACTGGAAGGTGTTTGGCAGCTGCGTGGCTGGAAAAGCTCTCCCCACGCCAAAGCACACACGGCCCTGGATCCCGGCAGCGTTTCCTTTGCCCAGTGCTGCAGAACAGGATCCCGGGATTTATGGGGCTCCGCGGGGGTCGTTTCCTTCCCTCGCTCGGAAGGTCACGAATGATTTGCTGTCTCTCTCCCCTGGGTGCCTGCAGGGTCCTGGGGAGGTGCCCGGGGTGCCAGGCAGGGTGAGACGGTGCAGCAGCTCTGACCCGTGAGGCTGGGGAAGGAATTAGGGTATTTCTGCTCTGGAAATGGGTTTGTTCAGAGCTGTGTAAGGGAGCAGGGAGCGCCTGGGGCTCATCCCCGGCTCTGCCCGCTCCAGGCCCGGCTCCCCTGGCAGGAGGGATGATTTGCTTCAGGCTGAGCGGGGCACACAAGGAAGAGCGAGTCGAGTCCCAGCTTCCACACCTTTCTGAACTGGAACCACGGGAGGCAGCTGCACACACCAGCCCTGCACACAGCCCAGGGGGACGGGGCCGTGCTGCTGCAGGGCTGGAGGACGGGGACGTGGGAGGCACCAGAGCCCAGCCACGGAAGGGCAGTGCCCAGGTGATGTCCGGGCTCCTCACCAGCCCCTCTTCCCTCTCCATCTGTGAAAGCTCTCAGCAGAGGAATGTGCTGCTCCCTCGGCAGCCGGCGCTGGCTGCTTCTGCCTTCCTCGGGCCCAGGACAGCCGCCAGCCTCCTCCTCTCCCTCCAGGAGCAGGGGCAGCAGCGCTGGGAGCCGGCACAGCTCGCTGCCCGGGGGCAGCAGGACGCTCCGGGCTGCTGGAGGCAAACGAAGGAGCCATTCCTCACCCGATCATCTCACCCCAAACCTCCCGGGCTCCCAGGAGGAATTCAGCCGGGTTTGGGAGCAGGAGCAGGCACAGGCTGGAACAGCAGGCAGGAGGAGATGCCTTCCCTCATTACGGCGCTAAGAGGCAGCAGTGACACCACAGCAAAGGTGTTATTTTATTGAAGTAACATTTGCTCCCATTTATTAGACACAGATCCAACACTGTGGACGGGCTGGATGCACAAGGAGAGGTTCAGGTACAGAGCTAAGGGCACAGAACCCCTGCCAGCTGACTGTGAGGCTGTAGGAGCCTGCAGCCTCAGGTTTAAAGTGCTGCTCTCACCTTGGAGAACTGGCTCTCAGTCGGGTTGGTCTAAAGGCTGTCTGACCTCTGGAAGAGACATGTCATTCCTACTTAGCACCAAATCTAACTTTACAGTAAGTATAAATATACATATTTAAAATCCATAATGTGAGTAATTTCTCAGCATTTACAAAGGACGGAGTAAAAAAATTAACAAATGCTAAAAACAGCTTTTCAGTATCCTCTGAGTCTGGCAAAAACTGAGTCACCACTGGAGCATGTGAGGAGTCACTTTGCAAAGCATGGAGAGTGCTTGGAGTGTATTCTGAGCCTGGTAAGGATTAACCTCACTTGGGAAAGCTGTGCAGGTCCCAGGCTGCTCCCTCACATGACCCAGAGGGATCCTGAAAGTGCAAATCTGATTTTGTCACAGTGTGTGGCACCTGCACAGCTCTCGCTGGGGAAGCAAACACCCACAGGTGCAGGCTGTTCCTGTCACTCTGCTCCTGTCCAGCAAGCTCTGAATCCTTCGGATCAGTTCTACCACTGCTCCCTCCTTCCCTGGGTTACCCTCCTCAGTAAAACTGTGGCCACGTGCTCCTTGTGGGCTGGTCACTGGTTAAAACACCCGAATCAGGACCAGGAGCCTGAGGTGCAACACTCAGGACAAGCTGCTGGCCCTGGGTGCGTGGGGATATTTCTGCAGAGGGTTTCACACTGCAGAATGAGCTTTGCTGGACCCCCAGCCCAGTTTGTTCTGTGCACAGGCCATTCTGACACGAAAAGCTGCCTTTGCTAAGCACAAACACCTGCTCAGGAACAGCACAGACAGCAGCACCATTATTAACATATTTACACCATAAGTTAAAAGTAGCAGGGTGAGGATTCAGCACAAAAGAGATGTCTGGGGCCATCCAGACAGCAGTGGCCTAGCTGCTAACAAGCCTGGGACAGAGAGAGAGCCCTTAGGACTACTGCCTTGTTGTGTAGAGCAGGCTCCTGGGAAATCCCTGCTCCCTTTGCAGGAGGTGAGGAGATGGAAGCTGCTTCCTCCCAGGGCTGGCACCAGGTTAGGCTCCGTTGGCACCGGCCTTGCTGCTCTGGGATGCTTCCATTTTGGTCTAGGGGCAAAAGAAAAGGGCAGATTTTAGGCAGTACAAATGTTGAAATTCAGAATCTTTTCTGAAGGTGTCTTCCCATTTAGCGTGGGAAGCTGCTCTGGAGAGAACAGCTGATGAGGAGCAAAGTTCTGAAAGTTAAAGGAGATAGGAGTCTGGACTCCCAAACTTGCCTTAAGCAGCATCCCAGGTGTACACATAAGCACCTAAACTGAAATCAAATATTCACAGGAAGAAAATGGGCAAAACAAACACAATCACTGCAGAAGTATTTTTACAGATATGAGGTGGCTCTTAACACCCTGGTGGCTCCAAGGGAAGGCTGGCCTGTCCCAGGGGCCCAAGGCAGATTATTAAGGAAGAGTACAAGGATTCAGTAATTCCCCCAGTTTGACTGCTCTCTGTCATGGGTGGTATTTTAGTACTGAATAGCCCTCAGTTCTCATCCAGTTCCTCCAGCTGCTCCTTGAACTCAGCGTTCACAGCATCCTGTACTATGAACTTCCACGGTTTGGCTGCAAGCTGTGTGAAGAACAATCTCCTTTGGGAAGTCTAAGAACCCTGACAAACTCACCTCTCGTGGGGGAGGCTTCACTGACGCTTCTGAGAATGGCAATTTCTCTGTTGGCTGGGACACAAATTCTTCACTCTTTAAGGAAAAAGCAGCTGTAAGCCACAGAACCCTCCTGGAAAGGGCTAAACTCCCCAGCCCCTTCTCCCTTCTGAGCCAGGCTGCTCCCTGCTCACTCTGTGAAAGCTGTGCTGGCATTTCCATTGTTTCCCCAGCACAATTTAACTATGTGGAAATATTTCTGGAAGTTGATACAATATTCTTTGATTCCTGCTGCTGCTTTTATCAGCTGGGACTAATCTAAGGAATTCACTGCAGCGTGATGCTGAGAACCATATGCTCTTGGCTTTCTTACTCTAGATATTTTGGCTCATTTTGTCCTGGACAACTGAACCCAAATTGAGTAGGAGGGCTAAAAACAAGTCCTCTTTAACTGGCTTCTCTGAGCTGACTGTACCTGGGCTGAGGCCTGAAGCAATTCAGATCCCTGGCTGGGAGCCAGTAGCGTGGCACTGAATAACCAGCTGCTCCCAGGAACAGGAGCAGTTGTGCCACAGCAGATCCCTGTGGATTCCCTTGCCTCTTAAATAAGGACATCCAACTGTGGGGCTCTTGAGGGGGGAAACAAACACAGTGCAAGAACAGACACTGCTCGTGCTCTGTGCCACGGTGTCAAACACTGGTTTTGTCCAGCTTTGGAAAGGTTTGCTCACATTCAATTCCCAACAATTTCAGCACACGTTTTCCTGCTTGCAGACTGTTATTTCTAACCTTTCTTCCCTGTACAACAGGGGCAGGATCCAGGAGGGTCTCCTGACCTTCAAGCATGGATGTCACCACTCCAGCAGCTTCGCCTGTCTGCAGAAGAACACAGAGTCAAAACTTCAGTCCACTTGTAGGATCAAGATTCCCATCACAGTCCTTCATTTTTATAATGTGTAATGGTTGAGCTATTAACCTAAAAGTTTTATTCAAACAACTTGCCTTGTTCTGTGGAATGGGAACAGATTGTGGCTTTACATCTATTAAGTACAAGGCACGGGAAAGCAGGAGGAGAGAAGAAGGAACGTTCTCCTTTAAATGCAGATCCAGCCACTGTGGGAAGAAAACAGAAGGAAAAGTTGCTTCACATTGGCTCTGTGTGGGTATTTAATACAACACTCTTTGTCCTTAAAGCAATCTTGAGCTTGGATAACACAGTCATAAGTTTCCATAATAAGAAATGGGTCTGAAGAGTTAGGAATACCCCCCACTACTTCACCTTGCTCCTATCTGGCCTCAGTTCTATTTGGTTTTCTCTTTAGCCCAGGACATAATCTGGACCCTTCATGCCTTAGAGCTGAGCTCTGCAAGTGAGGATCCAGCTTGAAACTCATGCATGAATTCTCAGGAAGCCGTGCCTGCTGTACCTGACCAGTGCCTGGAATCTGCCCTCTGAGGAACCCAGCCACAGCAGCCCAGGCCAGGGCACACTCACCTGCCCAAGCTGCTCCTTCAGCTGCTCCTCAGTGAGCCCCAGTGACCGCATCCCTCTGGCCCTGCAGGCGCTCTGCAGCTCTGACACGTTCAGGCCACTGACCCCCTCCTTGGCAATCATCTGGAATGAACAGCAGCGTTCCCACACAGGCACAGGAGAAGCCAAGACCCTGCTGCACCTGAACAGACTTCTGGAGGCCTCCAGTCCACTCTCCTGTGCAAAATTGCTCAGCATTTTCCACCTGTGCTTTAAGCCTCTTTAGGGATGGGGATTTCACAGCCTCCAGACAAACCTGTTCCACTGTTTACCCACTCACTGATTTTCATTTTGTTTCTTATCAAGTTGAAATTCCCCTTGCTACAACTTATGGCAATTACCTGCTGTTCCTGCACTCTGCACGTGTAAGTCTGGTTCCATTTTCCAAATAACCCCACTGCACATCAAGGAACATCTCTCTTTGCTAAGTCAGCATGACTCCAAAACAAGATGTTCTACTGACAATATCTGCAGTGCAAATAGTGCAAAGACTGCAAGGGTGTGGGGAGATGAACCCTCATTCTGTTTTCTTCTGGAATCTCTCACAGGGAGGATGTGTCTCCCATCAATATCAGACCCCTGCTGTGAGGGTGTGTGGGCAGGGACACAAGTCTGGTGCAAGCACCACGCAGCTGCTGTGTGCTCCTGCAGCCCCACCTGAGCAGCTCCTGTGTTCCTGCAGACCCCCCATGCAGCTCCTGTGTGCTCCTGCAGACCCCCCATACAGTTCCTGTGCTCCTGCAGACCCCCCATGCAGCTCCTGTGTTCCTGCAGGCCCCCCATGCAGCTCCTGTGCTCCTGCAGACCCCCATGCAGCTCCTGTGCTCCTGCAGACCCCCCCATGCAGCTCCTGTGTATTCCTGCAGACCCCCATGCAGCTCCTGTGCTCCTGCAGACCCCCCATGCAGCTGTGTATTCCTGCAGACCCCCCATGCAGCTGTGTATTCCTGCAGACCCCCCATGCAGCTCCTGTGTGTTCCTGCAGACCCCCCCCATGCAGCTCCTGTGTTCCTGCAGACCCCCCCCATGAAGCTCCTGTGTTCCTGCAGACCCCCATGCAGTTCCTGTGCTCCTGCAGACCCCCCATGCAGTTCCTGTGTGCTCCTGCAGACCCCCCCTGCAGCTCCTGTGTGTTCCTGCAGACCCCCATGCAGTTGCTGTGTGTTCCTGCAGACCCCCCATGCAGTTCCTGCGTGCTCCTGCAGACCCCCCATGCAGCTCCTGTGCTCCTGCAGACCCCCATGCAGTTCCTGTGTGTTCCTGCAGAACCCCCATGCAGCTCCTGTGTTCCTGCAGACCCCCCATGCAGTTCCTGCGTGCTCCTGCAGACCCCCATGCAGTTCCTGTGTGTTCCTGCAGAACCCCCATGCAGTTACTGTGTTCCTGCAGACCCCCCATGCAGTTCCTGCGTGCTCCTGCAGACCCACCTCGTCGTCAGCCTTGATGCTGCGCAGCCGGAGCAGCAGCTGGAAGCGCAGCAGGTTGTTGGTGCCGATGGGCTGCAGCTCCAGCAGCTTGCACAGAGCCACGAGCTGCGGCCGCTCCAGGTGCTCCAGGGTCAGCTCGTCCTCGAAGAGCTTGGAGAAGCGCACGAGCTCCTGCGTGCTGGGCTGGTGGCCGCTGTGACGGATCTGAAGGAAGGCACGGACGCAAACCTGAGCGGGATCACCGCCTTGGAATCTCCTCCCCCCTTCCCCTTCCTCCCACTCCTCCCCCTCTGACAGAGACAGCTTGACAGTTAAAAGTCCAAGTGAAACTGGAAGTTTCACAGGGTGGAAGATACACCCTTCCAGGATGGGAATTGCAGTGAGCAGGGCAGCAGGGAGGCACCCAGGGAACAGCTCCACACTGCCAGATGTTTCCACAATCCTGGTAAAAATCCCGTGTTCTCTGCCCAAACCAGCAGCACTAAAGGTGTGTTTGTGCCATGGCTGCCGTCCCCAGCACGGCCAGTCCCACCTCATGCAGGTAAGAGGAGAATTGTTTCCCTTGTCCTGTGTCTGCTTTGTTCCTTTTGGCCATCTCTGTAATGGTCTCCCGGAGAAACTTGGCTAACTCCAGCTTTGCATTTAACTTCTTCTTCTGCTTTTCTTCCTTCATTTGGGAAATACAAAATTATAAATTAGAAAATGCAACATAGGAAATGCAATTGCTGTGCACATTCCTTCTGATCCCTGTCTACAGCCTTCCAGCTGTCCCACTCAGCTCAGGAATAAACTGGTGAGGCTGATCCTCACTTGCAGCAGTAGGCAGGGAACAGCAGCCCTGCACAGATATTCTGAGGAGCTATGGACACTCCACAGCCTCAGAAAGGACACAAACCTTTTTTGACTCCGTCTCAAATGTCGAGGGCAGCATTTCAGGGAAGAGCTTCAGGAACACAGGTAACAGAAACTCCATGAAGGGGACAATGACAAACACCAGGAAGGGAACCAGACGGAAGAGATCCGCACAAGTTCTCAGCAGCTGCAAGGAGAAGAGCACAGCAGAAATTGCCCCAGAGGTTATCACTCAGACAGACACACAAAACATGTCCAAAGAAGGGGTTAAGCCCCTTACTACATCACTTTATCCAGGTGTTGTGGCACTCACCCTTCGCCTCTCCCTCCTGGTGAGCACCTGCCCGTGCAGCAGCCTCCACACCATCCTGGCAGCCACCTTGGTGTCAGTCCAGAGCAGGTGGAAACCATTGTAGTAATGCTTCAGCTCATCCACAGCTTTCTGTCGCAAGGACTTTTTTCCCGCAGGAGCCTCTGTGATCTTTGTCAGAATTTTAGCAGGTTTAGCTCCCTGGTTTCCAGGGCTCCGGTGGGGCAGGGATTCACCCGGGAGCTGCTGCCAGGAGCTGGTGGAGGTGTGCAAGGCGTGGGCAGGTGAGTGAGGCAGGGCAGCGCCCAGGCAGGCACGGCGTGGCCAGGGCTGGCTTTTTGAAGTGCAGGTTAACTGGGAATCCACCAGATGGACAAGAGCAATGGCTGGCGAGCACAGAGGGCTGGAGTGCGCCAGGAGATGCGAGCCCCTGAAACTGGAGAGTTGTTTCAGTAAGAACAGAGCAGTGAGGCCAAAGAGCATCACACCCCGAACCTTTTCAGCGCCAAATCAACCTCGTAAAATTGGCTTTGCGGCTAAAATCCTGATCCTTCAGCACCGGCTGAAATACTGAGAACCCGTCTTGTGCTAGCAGCTCATCTTTTGCGGGAGAAGCTCGGTAGCGTCTCTCGGGAGTGGTTTTACCGGGAATTGGGATAAAGCTGCAAACACCCCCGGGGGTTCAGGGCCAGCCCGGGGCACCGGGGGCTCACCTGGCCCTGGCCGCGGCCAGGAGCGCGTTACAGCCGCACGCAGCCATGCCTGGGACCTCACCCCCGGCAGCGGCGGGGGGCGNCGGTTCCGCTCACCGCCGGCCGCCCTCCTCCCGCCCCGCCCACCCGTCCCGTCGTGCCCCGCGCGAGCCGCTCTCACCCGTCGCCTCTCTGTGGTACCTGCGCCGTGACGTCACCGCGCCGCGCCTCCTCGACGTTAGCCAATCAGACGTCAGAATCCCGGCCCTCCTGGAGGCCCGCCCAATGGGAGCGGAGTGGGGCGGGGCCTGACCCAAGGAGCCCTCGGGAAAAGCCGCTGATTGGGTGCGAGAACGGCGGCGGCGCGCAGGCGGTAACGTCACGTGCCGGTGCGTGACGCCATCGCGAGAAGGGGGAGTTGCGCATGACGTCATGTGCATGGCGGGCGTTCGTGACCGAGCTGAGGGGCCTCGAAGCCTCTGCGGGGCCTGCCCGGGACGAGACCCGCCGCTCCCGGTCACGGGGCCTGCTGTGGGCAGGGAACCTCGCACCATTCCCGGCCATTCCGGGCCTGGGACACGTCCAGGGATGGCGCAGCCACAGCTCTCCTGAGCAGCCCGTGCAGGGCCTCTCCCTGCCTTCCCCAGTATCGCCCTGGCAGTGGAAGCCGTTCCCCCCGTCCGGTCACTGCAGCCCTTGTCAATAGGCTCGTTCCATGGACACACAGAGCTCCTCGGGAGCAGCAGAGTGGAGACTCCTCTGTTCTCGGGGGAGCAGCTGTGCTCGGAATGAGGTTTCAGAGGGGAGAATCAAGCCTTGACCTGTCAGACAAACACGCCAATCCTCTGTGTCTGAGGAGTGGATAACAGTGGAGAAATGTCCTCAGCAGGTGACAGGTGACTGGATCCCTTGAAATTTTTAAGGTCCCTTCCAACCATAGTAATTCTGAGATTCCATAAAATACTACCTGGTTTACAGAGACTAGAAGAGGGAAAACATTTCATTGTCCCAATGAAGAAAGGGTCTGGAACCCTTTGGCTAATGGATGCCCAAACAGATGAACAGTATTTTAAAAATAAATGGGATAAATGGGTGAAATAGGTGAAAAAGGGGATAGAGCTCCCGAGTCCGATGCCAGAGTACAAAACTGGGATTTAAACACATTTAGATTATTTCTAAAAGAGCTTTTCTTGTGGGAATGAGGGAAATAGATGAGTCTCCTCTCCTGTTCCTGAGGAAACTCATCCATGGGCGCTGCTGTGCTGTGCAAAGGCCTTTACGAATGTCCCTAAAGTGAGGAGCACAATAACTTTTAAAATTTTCTTTCTTACAGCTATTCGCACCCCAGCCCCTTGTCCCTGTTGTCCGAGGAGCCCCGAAACGGACATAAATCACACCCAATCCTCTCTGGTCTCCGGGTCCCCTCGGGGGTCGCTCATCCGCCACACGAGAGCGAACTACATCTCCCGTGGTGCCTCGCGGCGGGCACCGCCCGAGCGGCCAATGGCTGGCGGTGGCGCGTGCGCGTGCGGCTG